GCTGAAACTTAAAGCTATTTAAGTATGGGAATCTGGCATGTTATTCTCATTAGGGTTTTATTACCACGCATAAAATTATCTGTGGATAATTATCAGTGGTTAATAAAATTAATCAAAGATTGAGTGGACAATCTTTCAGTGATAGGAGCTATACAGGTAGTCCTTGATTTACAATCACAATTGAGCCCCAAATTTCTGTTGTTAAGTGAAACATTGGTTAAGTGAGTTTTGCCTCTTTTTATGACTTTTCTTGCCACAGTTGTTAAGTGATAAGTTGGTAGTTGATAAGTTAGTAACCAACCCGGTTGTCAAATGAATCTGGCTTCCCCATTGACTTTGCTTTGTCAGAAAGTCACAAAAGGCGATCGATCATATGAGCTTGGGAGATGTAACCATCATAAATTATCAAGCATCTGAATTTTGATCACATAATCATGGTGGTGTTGCAAAGGTCGTAAGTATGAAAAACGATCATAGATCACATTTTTCAGTGTCATTGTAACTTTGAATGGTTACTAAATGAACTGTTGTAAATCGAGGACTACCTGAACTTCAAAAACACCAAGGGGGTGAGAATAGGATTTCCAAGTGGTTCATATAGTTGTGGCTTTTGGTTTTGTAGTGGTTTTTTTTTTTTTGAGAGAGGTGCTCCTTTGGGGCACATATTAAGGTGAAATAAAAACTCAAACACCATTTTCACTATGCTACTAGAAACCACTATGCAGTTTCATCCCAATTTCTTAGCAGTTTGGCTGCACACTTTCTGAAACTTCTAGAACTGCAAAAAAAAGGGGGGGGGCAAGGGAGATTAATTAGATCACTCACTTTGGTCTGTGACTCCAAATAAGTGCCTGCTGTGGAAAATGTGGCCTTGTGTAGAGAGAAGATTTCACACATTATAAATTAGGGGTTCTGCTCTTGATAGAATTTGGGGAAACTCTGCCAGGGTTGGGTCTTATTGGTGCATGTAGTGCTCAAAGACCCCATGAATAAGCAAAAAGCAATAGTGATGGGATGACTTTAGGAGTAGAAGAAAATAAATAAATAAATAAATAAAGGAATTGTGGGAGGGAGGGAGTGTTTTGTTTTGTTTTATTAAACGTGAAAGGAAATTTCCAGCTGGTATAGAGGTGGTTCCATCCATGACATCTTGGAAGCTGAAAAGCAAAAAGGAAGGGGAACTTCATAAGGGGAGAGGGACTAAGTGAGGAGATTCATTTCAGGCTCCAGAGGGAAAAGATTTTTTTAAAATTCTGGTTATTATTAGGACAGCAGTTGTTGTGTCAAGCCAAAGCAGTACCTTCATTTGACAAAACTATAAGCCAATTTTTTTTTTTTATTTCTTTCAATAGGTTTTTGTCTGCAATTTATATATTGCAATTTGTAGTCTTCCAAACTGAACACTGCTAGAGAATTTGTGAGCTTCCACTAGCCTTCCTATGCAGTGGTGATATTCAGCAGGTTCTGACCAGTTCTGGAGAACCGGTAGCGGAAATTTTGAGTAGTTCAGAGAACTGGCAAATACCACCTGTGACTGGAGATTTTACAGTATCCTTCCCCTGCCAGGCCCACCAAGCCACACCCACAGAACCAGTAATAAAAAAAAAAAAACGATTCCCACTACTGTTCCTATGTAATTCCTTCAATTTATAATATCTTGATATTGCTTATTGATTAAATGAAATTGAACTATCATTCTCTGAACAATAAACAAATTATAATTCCTGTTTTTTTTTTATACACTTTCAAAGAGATAGGGGATTTAAATTTGAATCGTTCTTTGATCTTGCTGGTAAAGTGAGTGCAATGGGAAAGCTAGGTTATTCCACCTATGTACACTCAGAATGTGTCATAACTCAGTTAACAAATGAAATGTCTCTGATGAAAGACATATTTATTCTTTTGGATGATTTATATAGCTGCCCCTCTCACAATAATGACTTTGTTCACTGTGTTGGTGTGACTCCTATCACAGTCCACAGTCTATATAGGATTTAAAAGAGAGATTTACTCTGCAGTGAATAGACTTATATACTGCCATTGCCTCTCAATATCATGACGTGTGAAGGTTCCCAATTGAAATAATTCAGGCTTGTGTGTTAAAACCTATAAAGGTTATGAAATAAAGTCTAAAATATTACACGCCTGCTAGAATCTAGTATAAATATCTAGCATTGTGGGGCACCTGTGGTGGTCAAGTGCTAAGGTAGGACTTCCCTCAGGCCCTCCATCTCATTATAATCCTTCCTTCCTTTTCTTCTTTTTCCTTCCCCTTCCATTCTCCTTTCTTCTTCCTTCTCCTCTTTCCTTATTTTTCCTTCCTTGCTCTGTTCCCATCTTTCCTTCTTTTTCTTTGTCTTTCCTCTTTCCCTTTCTCTTTTCCTGTCCCTTCTTGGATGCTCAAATGCAAAAGGGGAAACAGTTTTCTTTTTGTTTTGTTTTGCTTTTAGTTTGTTTTGCTAGTCCTCTGCCAGCGAAAACGAGCTCAGAGGGGTGGACACTGAGGTAAAATGAGATCCTGGATGCCAAAACAGTGTTAGTAGATAGGCCTGCTGGAAAGCTCTTCTTTTCTTTCCCTGAACCTCCACTGAAATAAAGCATTACACAGGGACTTCGACCTCAGAGAGCTTTCTTGGGAGAATGTGTTAATAGAGTGCATTCGGACAGTGGAAGCTGCTAATTGGCCTTTCTGTTTCACAGACCAAGAATGTTTCAATTTATTCTGTGAGCCTGAAAAGACAAGATTCCCCTGTGGAAAATTTAGGGAGGAGAAACCCATTTGCCATCCATAACATGATTCCTAAAAAAAGAAATATAATCATCAGAAACAAAAAGAAAAAGGAACAAAAACAGACAACAGCATTTCCAAGATGCAGAAGGCGGGAAAAGATTCCCAAGGACATTACAGTGATGGATATCAATTGCCCAAAGAGTGACAGCAGCTCGCTGGAAGGGAGGAAAAGAGTTTAATATAAAGGCAGCCTTTAGAGAGACAGAGAGAGAGAGAGAAAAAGAGAGAGAGAGAGAGAGAGAGCTGCTAAAAGTGCAGCAAAGATGACAAGGCCATACTCGAAGGTTTACGTTGTAGGTTATGCCCCCATTGAAAAGCAAGATCAGTGCATGTCATACCAAAAGGCACCATGAATCTACCACACCACACCACAATGCCGGCATGACCACCAGCATGGCTTTGACTGGTTCAAAGAAAAACCAAAACAAAAGAAATCATTGAAATATTCTAAACAAACCAACTTGCCAAGAATACCTGGGACTGGCAGCTGGAGAACAGGTGGCTTACCTTTGTGGATCTTTCATTGTTGTGCCAAAAAAATGAGAAATAACTCTTTTCAAGTAGGCAAGGAAGAATTGGCAGAGTTGCTGATGAGCAGTGGGGTGGGTGAGGGAACAGAAAAGGGGGATAAAAGGAGCAGGGGAACCATTTCTTTTCACCAACATACAGAGGAACTGATCCATGACATCACAGAGGTGCCTTCAAGAAACCCATTCTTGTCTTTCACTTTCCTAACTGCCCATCCCCAGAATTCTTCCCTGCACTTCTATCAATATTTTAGTCTTTTCCACGGACACCTTTTAAAACAAGGCAGCATCTCCATCTACAGAGCAGGCGTTCTTTTTCTCAGAATCAGTCTTCTCCAACGTGATTTTTGTTCATTCAGAAACTTCCTACAATGAACCCATGTTGTTAATAATAGAGGGATAGTATCTCCTTTGCAATTTCTTCTACCCTAGCTGCCTATCTAAATTATAAATCCGAACCAGATTTTTAATCCATTTCACTGTCAAGCATCCACCAGGGACCTTAGAACGTATTTTCACTCTAAGGTTGGATTAGTGCTATTTGAATTTTCATGGCTTCAGACCAGAATTCTTTTAGAGATCTGCACTTTCTACTACTAACCATTCATTACTTTAGTTCAATCTGGTCCATCGGAATGTGGGAGAATGCTGTTTCAGTTGTCTCTAGCGAAGATGTGCCCAGAAGCATAGATTTATGACAGCTCTATTTTCCTTCCCACCCCGGCCCTGGGAAAAACATTTGGAGCAAAATTATATAACGCTGAAGGTTCTTTGAAGGCAGGCACACCTCTAAACTTGTTTTTATGGCAATTTAGTGTGAAGTGTGGATGGCAAACTGTATCCGAACTCGTGGAGCTGTCTCCCTGAGAATCTGTTTTGGAGCAATTTCGGCTTATTTTAAAGGGTGTTCTGGTTGCCTTAATCCAGATTTAATCCAGACCAGAATTGCCTTGAGCTTCCTATTAGTTATCATATCATTTCAGATTGAGGCAGGAATATAAATATTTACTCCAAATGTTTTGTGCCCTCATCTGGAATTTGCCCTTTTGCTCTCTCTGTGCCTCCTTCCCCACCTCTTACATGCAACAGCAAGTGACACACACCAAACAACACAATAAACACCAATCACTGTCAAAATGCGTGGCTAGATCAAGAAATGAGGCTGGATCCCCAGCTGGTGTCGTTTTCCCCTCGCTCCCTCTCCTCTGAGCGCTCAGCCCCTCCCCTGGCCCAGCCCCCACCTCACCAGCTGGGGATCTGCCTCCAGTCCATTAAAAACCAGCAGCCACGGAGAGAGAAAGTGAACGAGACGAGCAAACCAAGGAGAGAAAGGGCGGGTGGGGGGGTTTGCAGGTGGTTAAAGAAAGAGAGGCAAAGCGCAGAAATTGTATGGCTTCATAGAAATTGGAAATCCGGCCTGGCTGAGACCGGACAGAGTTAAAAACTGAAAGAAATAATATTGCAACGGTGGCTACAGCAACGAGGGACTGAGGGATGAGGGGTGGGTAGGTGGGTGGATAGAGAGAAGGAAAGGGGGGGGTATTGTAGGAGGGGGCAGAAATAGAATGGGGTGGGGGGGTTTTTTGGTCTTGTTTTGCTTTTTGTTTTAAATCACAAGCAGTAAGAGGAAATCAAGACTCACTCCCGGCACCGGTGCTGGCATTTGCGGCGGAGAGAATTACGTGAGTGGGGGTAGAAATATTGGTTACATCGTGCAGTTGACTGAGGACGGAAGAGCGGCGTCGGACAGCCCCCTGAAAGGAGCCGCTTCTCTTGAAGGTGCTAACTACCTCCATCTGCAGGAGAGAAAATGAGATAGAAAATTTGGGTGGCAGCGGACAGTGGCTGCGAACGGAACAGCCCGTGCCAGCCAAAATTGGCCATGCTGGGTATTTGGCCTCCTGCCAAAGACTGTGAAAGCATTCTGTGCCAGAGACCAGCTGGTGGGAGTTGGCAACCACCCTGATATTCTTTGATGGAGAAAGCAAGTTGCACCAGCAGAAGATCGAGGAAACTGGTCACCCGAAGGCTCCGTTTCTGGATCATTGACACAAAGTACACACCCACGGTAGGTTACCCCAGAGTTGTTCAGGGAAAACCAATCACTGGATAAGTAGATGCCAACCCACCTATTAAGAACAGAGTACAAGGCACACCTGAACTCCCAAGCTCACGGCCACAAGATGTGCTGAAGGGCTACGCTTTAAGGTGAATCACAAAGACACATAAATCCAGCTTTGAGTATCACCAGGCAAGGAGAAAGGGTTATAAAACATTCCCCAAATCTCAAATTGCTGTGTTTGAGTTACTTTATAATTTCGGTCTTCAAAAACCCCATTCCTCCCTTCTCCCTTCTCTCCGGCATCTTTTTTTAGTGTGACTAAGGAGTTGCGTATTGAAGAGCGAACAATACAGAGGAGGTAAAGGTAGATTCAAATAAAATCAGGCTTGAAGGATGGCCAAGAATAGGAAGAAGCTTCAGCATCAACTCGGTTGTATCTCAATTTATCCTACATTAGTGTTATTCCTACTTGTTTTCAAATTCAAAAGAAAAATGAAAAGCATACAATTGCTATCAAGGCACATCTGTGCCCAGGGTTCCAGTCCAAACTCTACATGGGGTTCAATAAGCATTGAGAAAGATCCAACGTCCAGAAATCCTTGAATTTTACAATTTCTTCATTCACAGTGATGGACCCTTGGATGGTATTGTGCTTCATTGTTTGAACTCTTTCCAAGCATGGATTACTACAGTATATCAAAGGCTATGCTTACAATGCTCACAACACTCTAAATGGTCCTACTTGTAAAAATCCACACTTGCTGCGTCCAGTACATATTTTCACTTAAACATGGCTGAAACTTCTCCTGAGGCCAAGCACTCCATCCTGCATGTTCTTCCAGGTACAGAAATTAATTGAACTGGCATTTGAATTTTAGTTTGAGCCTGAAAATAAAACAAGGTCTTCCACAACTTGTCCTAAGTAGCTTAGGACAAGCTGAGTAGCAGCCTCTTCCCTGCTCACTCTTCCTTCACTTCTGCACTCAAAGCAACAATTTACTCTGCCTAATTATAGCAACAGGCCTATAATGGAACATTGAGATCTACTTTCCATGTATAGGAGAAGAAACTCTAATCCTTCTCTTTTCTGATGTTTCCACAGTGTTTTCAAATAATAGTTTAATTTCAAAATGACCTGACATAAACCTGAATAAGCATGGTAACCCAGAAGGCCTACTAAATGCACTACTTGGCAAATAGCATGAACCTTCTGGGAATCCATAAATCGCTGCAGTTCAAACTTTGTATAGTATACAATTATATAGTCACTTAGAAAATAAATAAGAGAAAAGATGAGGAAATAATAGGCCATGATGATGATACAGTAAAAAATTAATAAATTTTGGTTCAAAATTAGGTTATGCAAGTATGAACCTTGCAGAAAGAGCAAAGGATTGTAAATTATCAATATGAATAATAGTTAACCAGATATAACTGAAATCTTTTGCAGCTTAGCCCATGTTTATTACAGAATCTCAGAACTGGGAAAAGCTTAATTCCATCCTCTCAGTTTAAGAAATTATTCCTTAATCCCAGAAATAAATCTAATGGGATTCCTGTATATACATGTGGATAAGCCCATCCACGGATAAACCGACCCTCAGTTTTTTAACCAAACTATTTTGAAAAACGTCCCACTATGGATAAGCCTATTGTGAAAATTAAACATACAGAAATTTTAAGGGTCAGCTTATCCACAGATGAGTTTATCTGTGAATACACACACACACACACACACACACACAAGATATACAATGTATTTTTAAAAATTAAAAGAAAAGCCTACTGTATATAATTGCAGACAAGCCCATCTGCAAATAAACATAATCCAATTTGGGGGGTGGGTGTATTTTGGCACCACAAATTCTTGGCTTATCTACTATGTGGCTCACTAAGCCCAAAATGTTTGGTTTTGGCTTAGCATGAAATGTGAAACTGGGGAATAGGAAACTAGGCAACCTGGTTAGTAAGCCATGTCTTAAGACATAGCATGATACAGTAGGTGACCTAGACATCCCCTATAAGCAGGAAACCTGTTGGGATTTAATCCAGGAAGACCATATTGGCTAGAAACTCTGTTAAATCCCAACTTATCTGAAGTGTGACAGAGAGGGATGGCCACATTACATCAGACAGTGCACAAAAAAATACCTACAGAGATTTCAATAAAAGATTAAAAGAAAATAAACCATCATGTATTTCAGAAACTCATCATGCATTTTGTGTAGTTTTAAACAAAAGAAACCCCACATTTAAATCTAGCTATTATTTCTAGTTCATGCAGATGTGTTGGTTGTAATCAGGGATGAGATTCTACCAGTTCGCACCTATTCGCTAGAATCGGTTGTTAGAAGAAATTACTGGCCTAGTCCTGTAAGGAAGGCAGGAAGGAAACATTCTGGTGTTGCTTACAGAAACTGCCTCTCCATTAACCCTTATTACATTCTTGGCAGGACTAGGCTTCCTGTCTCTGGAACTTCTCTGGAGGTTTTTTCCCCCTCCTTTGCTGGTACTTTGCTTGCGTGGAGTCACATTCAAAGTTACAATGGCACTGAAAAAAGTATCTTATGACCATTTTTCACACTTATGACTGTTGCAGCATCCCCACAGTCATGAGAGGCCAGGCGAGGAGATGCATGTCTCAATGTGTGTGATATTGAGTTGGCCACGTCCACCAACTAAGCCACACCCATAGAACTGGTTGTTAAAAAATTTGAATCCCACCCCTGGTAATGTATTCATGAAGTGTGTAACTAAACTTTGGGCATCTCCATACAGTGAACTGCTGCATAGTATTATTGGTGATAGTTTATGTATATAAATTCTGAGACAAACCTCCCTTCTTATGCTTTAAAATAGCTACTTGGCAAAATGAATGGATATTCATCCAATCCTTTTGGAGATGTTTCTCTCTTATTTATGTCTGTAGGTCAGGTTCTTGTTCTTGGGTTGATGGAAAGGACCTTCTGCATCACTCTATTTTGGTTTCGTTCACTCATTGTTCTACACCAAAATCAAGGAAACCAGATGATGATTTTAGCATGGTCCCAGCCACTGTATGCACAAGCTGATTAAAACTGGGAACAACCGAGGAGGATACTGAATGGGTAGGCTTCTTAGTTTGCAGTATTAACAAGACAAAGGAAAATATGAGATTTTGGCATGCCAAGAAAGGGTAAGTAAACCTTTTTGTTCCCACATATGAAATAGATTGGTTGGAAAGATAGTGTGTGCGTCACAGTAAATGACAGCGAAGTTACATATATGGATATGTTTGTATCTGTGTGAAAAGGAAAAGTGAAGGGGAAAGAGGGATTTAGGATCCACCTTTGTCACCTTGAAACATGTCCATTGTCAGACTCTACCTTAAATTTTAAACATGAATTTACACCCATTTATTACATGTCTTCCCACACTCCCTGCAAAAAAGAGAAAGAAACAGAAAAGAAAGAAAGAAAAAGAAAGAAAGAAAAGTTTATGCATTCAGGATATTGATATATTCAGCACATAAAACTATCCTGGCACTTTTAGACTGGAAGGATGTGTTATGTGTACATGTACACTGCCCTCCCACCCCCCACCCCCGCCCAATAGAGTAGAAGTTCTATGCGTAGGAAAATTTTGTTGATGTTTCACATGAAAAAACTTCCAATGTGAGTATGTAGATATTACTTGCAATGGGACATTACGTAGTTCATAGAAAAGCTTGTTCATATGTATTCTACTGAATTTATAAATTGGATGTATTATATCAAGGAATCCCAACTTACTATTTTTAAGAGTAGTCAGGTGTGTCACAAAGGAAGAAATAGCTGGGAAGGGGGAAAGTCTTTTCTTAGAGAAAAGTGAGGAATTATTATTATTGTTGTTTACATATTATTGTTAATCCAAGATCATAGAAGTTCTCAAAAAAGGAAAGCTTATATGATGCATTCTGCTCCAAATATAATAAGTATTTGAGGAGTATTACATTCTCCTCATTCCATATAAATTATAATTCATGACTACCAATAGTATTTGGACAGTATCACAAAATCAGCTTGGCCCAAAGGGAGCCTAGTCGAAAGTGGAATGAACGTTCCCGCTGTAAGATACGGCCTGAATCTATCCACGGTACAAACATAGATTATAGCTTTTTTTTATTCCACTGTGCCCCCATGTTGCTCATTCTGTTCCCAGTAGGATTAAGGTATTTTTTTCTTATAGTTATTCTGACACAGATAGCTTCAAGGTGTCTAAAATTTATTAAGCTTTCTCACCCCTTACCTTGGAGGAAAGTGAGGTAATGGCAGAAACTGGGAATAGAGATAAGATAGGGATTAACAAAGGGCTCAGCAAACATCATGCCGGTATTGTTATCTGATGACTGGCAGGTGGCTGAATAGCACATCAGGAATGGGGGAAGTCCCATGAACTTACCAGGATGGGTTTTGCCAAATCACTCTTTGAACTTTTCTATCCCACTTTTGCAATAGGAAACATGTCACTTATAACTGGCACGGACTAAATCTTCTTTATGAGGTCGCATGATGATTAAATCAGACGTAATAGACCCAGATAAATCAGTCAGCTTGGAGCTATAAGATCGGTACAAACCAGTTTTGAATTCTTGATCTCCTGCTGGTGCAAATGATATGAGCAGGCAGAAGCAGGAGACTTTCCAATTGGATACCAGTAGGTTTTGATGCAAGGCATTTTGAACTACAGGAACCTCCCTGCTCCCCTCTCCTTTGGCTAGTCCGCCTTGTAGAAGCTGCCCTTGTTTTGACTCCTTTGACTCAGATGGGTGTGGCACTGTGGCTGCAACTTACATCTCAAGGGGATGAAGTTGACTTAGTAGGCTGAGATGAAGTGGGGGGTCTGCGCTGAATGGAAGGGTTAAGCATGCCTGAAACCTCTACATTCCATCCGGGAAGCCCTGGTTCTTACTCCTGAGGGGGGAGATTGGGAGGAGAGCCAGATTCCTGGGTTCTGTCGTGAAAGATGGGGTTCCCCCCAGCACCCTTCATCAGTGTAAGTTGACTAAGAGCGGTTGTTGGGGGAAGGGTTGGAAGACATGATGCTTGGGTGGCAGTCATTTCATTTTAACCATTCAAGAGCAATTTCGATACATCACATGCTATCGGTCATTTCTCATCATGCTCCTGGCCAGGGAACTTCCTTGATCCAAGAGCATCAACTCTTAAGGCAGGAACATTTTTTTTTTTACATGCTAAAAGAAAAAAAAAGAGTTGCAACAAGGCACATGTCCCACCCGCTCTTTGAGGCAGTGGGAGGAAGTGGGAAGGGATGGGGAGGGGGGGGAAGGCTGCAACCAGAAAGCATGTAATTAGAACATAGAAGCCAGACATGGGTGTCTTGGGAATCATGCCGCTCACATGGACCACTGGTGACCACTCATACCTGTGTACAAATGCTATACGTACCCGAGGAGGAGCAGCTTCAGATGAGTTCTGGGTCCCACACTTCCCCCAGGGACCTTAACTTGTTATCGGGTTATGATTGCATTGACACTGACCACAAGTTTATGAGTGCAACTTGTATGTGCCTGATAATCCTTGCTTTAGTTTTTGTTTAAAAGGAACATATAATGCAGATCTTTATAAGCCCAAGTAAGTCAAATTGATTATTAATTAATCATTAATTCAAATGATTTTTGGGGTACTTCCAAACTGCAGGATTCTAAACTTATTCTTTTTTTCTGCTCTAAATCATATGCTGAAGTGGCAATTGATTTTTCACCCTCAGGCTGTTACAATACTTGTGTGTGAACCTGCACATGAGCAAGGGATGAAGTACCAGAATAAAGATTCAGCAGGTTGTTATGCATGAGGCCCCAGCTCCAGTACCAGCATGGACATTTGGATCAAGCTCCCCCCCAAAAAAAACACCACACAAATACAATATGCCATAGCCAGAATTATATTTTTGTGGCCCTTTGGATAGTGCATGTTATGTAGCTCTTACCATTATCATCTTTCTCTATGGAAGTGCCATGGTGGGGCTTAATAACCGTGTGGTCAGAATTGAGTCAATTTGTTTCCATACTCATACTGGATGTCCTTGGACAAGACATCCTGTTTCAGCTTCTTTTCTTCATTTATGTTATGAGAACTAACATGACCCATTACTGAAGAAATTACTACCACTAACTCCACTACAATTTCCTTATTGGTACTGGTATTACGATGACTGTAGCAGTACTGTTACAATTGCTGTTACAGATTTGCTTTTTCTTGGACAATTTTTAAGTAGCCCAACAACAACCACCAAAAAAACCAACAGAAAACAAAACAAAACAAAAAAAACCAATCACCATCCCATTTCTGCTTCTATAAGCTGCCCCTGTTCATGCATTCAAGCAAGGCATTCATTAGTTTATTCTCTTGAAACAAGGCAGTGTGGAAATGCCTGGCATTTAAGGTCTCTCTCTCTCTCTCCACCAGGCATGAGCATATCAGGGTGAAACCACCATGTCCTGGGAAGGGGTAGGAGATAACCAATGAAAGGTTTGTCTTCAAGTCACCGCTAAAGCAAAGGAAGGATTGGGTAAGGGGGTGGGGAGGGAAGCACTAGTTGGAGTCAGAGGTGAGGAGGCTCCTCCTCACTGTCTCATACCTGGGTCTGGATGCGGTTGAGGCCACGGAACCACAAGATCTGGCCACGGCGCAGCTCCCGCTCAGCGTGGTCAATTTCCTCCTCATCCTCAGCCATTTCCTCATCTGTGATCTCATCCTTACCAGGGCCATGTCCTGCTTCCTTTAGGCATTTAAGATGGCTGGTAGGGATGGTGGCAATGACCTGCAACAGGGTGTAAATACCTAGGCTACTTTTCAGTCTTTTCTCTGTCGAAGGTAGCTATTGCTCAGTTTCAAATATTTTTCAGGTAAAATAAATAGCGATAGTGATAGAACATGGGGCAACCATAGATTGCTTAATGAAAACAACAGCTCAGTAGGCCACGGATGTGGAAAAGACATATTCCAGGCTAGGGGAGTTTAGGAAGTACTCTAGATTATACTGCATTGCAAAAATATATAGTTGTAATATAAAAGTAATATAATAATTTTATGTAAATCTATAGGGCAACGGGTGAAAAAGAGCAGTGACAGTTTTATAGGTATGGAGCACCTTATCTATGGGCAAATTTGAAATGAAGAACATTCACTTGAAAAAAAAAGAAGGAAGATGGGATAGATAAATACGGGAAGAAAGAGAGAGGTATAGAATTCTATAAACGGTGCAGCAAAAATGACTAAGAGAAGCTTTTCTTCTCTCCTGTTTCATATTTTTGGGGGCCATAAATCTGAACATAAGACCTGGAAGGAAATATCCATACAGATGGAGGAGTAAGATAGAGCACATACTGGTGCAAATGAAAATGATTTCCTTACCTGTCCCCAGACGAGTTCCCCGAAGCCCACAAAAAGACACCACAGCCATTGCTCTGCATTCAGTGGAGAACAGCTGAATGGTTTCCCCCCAAACTGCACAATGATGATCTGTGGGGTGGGAGTGGGGGAAAAAGAGGGATGGTAAGTGGATAGCCAACTTTTTAGTACCAGAAGTGGCTTGCCTGAAGAGGACAGAAGGAAAATCTGAGTCAGATGCAGGACAAAGAAGAGATAGGAACAGATCCAGGATCTGAAGAACAAGACCCTCAGGTAAATGTAAGAAAAGGGTTTGAAAACAAAGGACCAAAGGGCCAAAATATTGTATGTTGCAGGGCAAGAAGCACTAGAGGTCTAAGGTAAAAGCTCAAAGCAAATAAAATATCTGAGACTAACTGTCCAAATACAAACAATCCATGCATCTGTGCATCCATGCATCCATCCATGTATCCATCCATTCACCAGCCTCACTAAGTGAACTAGCCAGGGGTCTCCAACCTTAGCAACTTTAAGACTTGTGGACTTCAACTCCCAGAATTCCTCAGCCAGCAAAGCTGAGGCCCTGGATTAGACCATGAAATCAACACTACTAGAAGGCTAAAGTTACTTGAATAGAGATTGGCTATAATAACAGATTCTTGCTAGCCTGGTTGTGCTGTCCCTCCTCCCACTTCCTATATTTCCTGTGAGTCACGAAAGCATACTAACTGATCCACTTCCCAGTGTTATCTTAAAAATGGGCTTAAAAATGTCTCAATGTCTTATTCGTTGAGGTAAACCATTTGTGCAGTATTTTCATGATGGTAATATTTATTCTCTGTGCTATCCATCTGTGTATACACAATTTGTATTTTAATGTATTTGTCCTCTGTCAACCTTGCTTCTCCCTGTCTTCCAAGTCTTTCCTTCCAGTTGCAGTCCTCACCATCAGGATGCATACTTAGGGCAGTTATACAGTATGTTTGCCTTGTCTACCTGTGAAGTGTCAGGGACCTTTAATAATTACTCACAAAAGCATGCATGAACATTTACATTTCATACAGACATAGATACAGGCACACCACACACAAAACACACATGCACACACAGAGCCACTGAACTATTCATTTATAGTTATACATCAGCTTTCCTAACTAGCTATCCTTAAATGTGTTGGGATTACCTGGGATGGGAGCATTGACCATACTGGCTAAGAATCTGAAAGCTGCATGTCAACACATCTAGAGGGCACCAGGTTATGGTGGCACAGTGGTCAGAATGCAGTACTGTACTACAGGGCTAACTCATTGCTCACTCCAGGAGTTCGATCCTGAGTACCTCAAGGTTGATTCAGCCTTCCATCCTTCCAAGGTGGGTAAAATGAGGACCCAGATTGTTGGGGGCAATAAATATGCTGACTCTGTAAACCATTTTGAGAGGACTGTAAAGCACTATGAAGTGGTATATAAGTCTAAGTGTTATTGCTAATGTTATTGTGGAAGTCCACGGAAAGAGGAAGTACATGCCTCTTTTCCATCTTTTTTTCTAACTCCACCCAGCTTTTCACAACTGTTTGCTGCAAGCTTATACCTGTATGCCAAAAGTGCCCAAAACAATGCTGCAGAAGATGGGGTTGCCAAAAATCCCATCAAAGACATTGCGCTCTCCATGGATTTTGCGGGCATTGATCTCGTTGAACAGCTGCATCATGACAAAGGTGTTAAAGATGATGGTGTAATGCTCCGAGGGTGGAGAATGCAGGGGAGCGTTGCGGCCACAGTCGATGTCAAATATAACCTCTCCTGTGGGGTAAGGAAAGGGAATAAAGCATTGCATCATGGACCGAGAATGCAAGTTCCAACCAGCCAAATCCATCCCTCCACCAAAGTTTGGTGTTGTACCGAATGGACAAGTAAGCTCCCATCCCAGATTCACTCTTGCTGCTTACCTATCAGCCCCTCATGACAGATGACAAGCTGCCAGCCCAGACATTCAAATCAACATGTTGGGATTGGAATCCTAGATCTTCTTGAGAGATGCAAGACTTCTTGTTAGGAGGGACCTTACTTTAGCATGTAAAAAAAGGGCTTCTCCCTCAATCCCTCCCTGTCCAGGGGGAAGAGCTTTGCTTCTCTTGGAAGTGGCAGGCAGTACTCCAAGAGAAAAGGAATACATGGGTGGGAGAGAAGGAACTAAGATTCTCCTCCAGCTCTGATTAGAGTGGGATTTCCAGTTAACAGTTGAATCTAAAGGAATTTGATTCAAGCCCTGGCTATTCTTTAGAGAAATAGCTAAGAATTCTGCTAGGCTTAGCTTTAGTCAATGTTCATCATCTCTGGTATCTGTTGCTTCTGTACAATCTCAGTCGCTTGGGGCTTTGGAACTTGGAACTTCTTTACATCAACTTTGTAATTTGGAACATCTTTACTGCCTCCTAGTTTAAGGGAGCAGCCTCTTCATCAGAACTTTCCAGTAGCTCTTTCAAAATGCTGGCTGTGGTTTTAGCAATTCTGTTTTCATCCCCTCCGCCACTAATCGTGTTACAAGTGACTACTTAAAAGTTGAAAAGAAATTTTTTATTCCTTTCTTTCTTTTTCCTAACTAAAGTTTGATTCTATTTATATCTTGTGAAGTTGATCTTTTCCCCCCATTGGAATGCCCTAATGCTACAAGGACAAACAGATGGCACTATGGAATTATTTTTCTCCCCTTTTTCTCATTTCTTCCCTTTAAATTTGCCACACACACATATAAAAAGTAGCACAGGTTGTCTCACAAGCCAGGGATTAGGGATAAGATACCCCTGGAAGAGAAATGTGACAGTCATAACTACTGAATTGCCTTGATGAGGCAAAGCTAAGCTACATAAATCCAGAAAATATCTGGGACAGTAAGTGGAGATCTCCAACTTTTTCCCTTCTACCTTCTATAGTTCACTTATAAACTCACCCACAAAGAGGAGAGTGAAGATGATAACGAGCTGGTACACAGCATGGCCCAAAATATTCTTCATCATGGTCCGGGATATGAGGGGTTTGTTGCGTCCATAGGGCTTGCGCAGCAGCAGGGCCTCAGTTGGGGGCTCAGTGGCAAGTGCCAAGGAAGCAAATGTATCCATAATGAGGTTCACCCACAGCATCTGTACTGCCTTGAGAGGAGAATCCTTTGGGAGAAATTGAGAAGGAAAATTGTAACATCTCCAGGAAGTGAAGGAAGCATATACCCATCCACCTCTAGGCATACTAAGCATACTCTATCCACTTTAAGACGTGATACCAATGGACTTGCTTAGAAATGAGAAAACTTTTTTGGTAAACCAGTCAGTACTAGTCAAAGCTTCTGGTACTTAGGGTGTATTAGGTGAACTGCATCAATATATTGATCTATGTATCATCACGAGGGGCATTTCCTGGCAGAAGAGCTCAAGAGAGATTGAAGCCTTGTGGGAGAGCAGCCATGCTACTCTATGGTAATCGAAATTCAGAAGGTATCTGGTAGCAACTTTGTTAGGCAAAAAAAACTGCTGCTACTTTTGAATTTTAGCTTGGGCCTGCGCATCAACTAAGAGCTGAGCTTATGAATAGCTGCCTCGAAATCAAAAGGAGGAGGAAATGGAGAAGTAATCCATCAAGAATGAAAGGACAAAACAAGACAAGTCTTGCTTTTCCGAATTTACCTGTTGATGGACAGCTCCAAAGACTCAATTTTTATTCTGTTATTTTAAACTGGATTGAATTGGAAAGTCCTTTAAACAGAAGATGACAGTGAACGGAGTGCTCTATTGTACAGTTTGGGAGTAATTTGCAAGGTACAATTGACAGATAGGGAGAAAGATAACTCTTTCACCTGAGTTATCTCCTGCCTGTTATTTCCCTCTGGAAATCTCTGCAGTATCGTTAAAATTAACAAGGAGTTGGGAACCAAGTGTCTGCCTTGAACTGAGTCACTCTGATTCTACTCTGGAGATCTGTGAGATATACTGATACCAAACTATAAATCATTGGGCTAGATTAGAAGTTCTACATCAGAACGATGACCTGATGTACAGACTTCAAATGCTTATTGATTCAACCTGCTTTTCACAGTCTCATTAGAGTCCAATATGCAATAATCTGGATTAAAATAGTGATTCAGTACAACAATAATGCAAATGAGAACATCTTTACTTCAATGTTTGCAGCATGTTTCTGTCACTGAGGTAATAAGCAGATTCTTTCCCTTTTTATGGAAGAAAAGGAACGATTGGGTGCAGTGCCTATCCTTGTTAGCACAATCCTTGTGCTCCTTTCCTTGAGTGGCAGAGCAGAAGGACTAAGGATGCTTGGCGGGAGGGGCAGGGGGAAGAAGATAACTACTTAGATATGTCTATGAAGACTCAGTCGTTCAGCCCAAAGGTATTTAAAAAGTTGCATCATGGCGACTGAACCAAAATTTGTTAATCTGAGACAGTTCACTTCCCATCTAGGAAGCTTCATCAGTCAAACTAAAAACAAATAGTCAGGCAGAGAGGTTTCAAATTATTATTATTATTATTATTATTATTATTATTATTATTATTAATCTGGTGGGAAGCGAAACGTCTCAGATTAACAAATTTTGGTCCAGTTGCCATGATTCAACCTTTTAGATGACTATTTAGAGCATGGGTCTCCAAACTTGGCAACTGGCTGGAGAATTCTGGGAGTTGAAGT